TTCAAATACCAAAGAACACATAAAAAACAAACCTACACCTAAATATGATGTGAAACTATAAAACAACAAAAATATGTATAAGAAAAGAGACACACAATAAACTCACAGTATTTTAAAGCATCTCAAGAAAAAGAGCGATCACTAACAAAGAGACTTCAGATTAGATCCACATTGGAAAACAATGGCATTGTATTTGGAACATGCTTAGAATAAAATCTGTCAATGTAGAATTTTATATCTAGCAAATACATCTTTTAAGATTTAAAGCAAAATAGCATAATTTTTAAACAAAAATTGGGCACTCTACTAGAAAACTCTAATTAATGTGAATTTTAAAGGATGTGTTTTTTAACAGGAAAAAGGTGATGTCAGAGGGAAGATCAGAAATACAACAAGGAATTAAAAGCAAGGCAAACAAAGATCTGGGATTTTAAATAAACACTGATAGTACAATTAATGTAAAATAACAATAATGTCTTGAGTTTTAAAATCAAGATAGAATTTAACAAATTTGAATTATGAACAAATACAACTTCAGGTGTAAGAGAATTCTCTTTCAACCAATGAATAACACTACAAAGTTACCAAATTTCAAAGCACAGCAACATAAAAACTATTCACATTTTACCACACATCAATAATGTGAAAATCAATACTAAAAAAAAGAAAATCACTACATTAGAATTAGAAACAATTAAGTACAAAGTCATGGAAAAATGTTTAGAATTGAAAAATAAGAAAATACCATATACCTAAATTTGGGAGATGGAGTTAAAGTAATACTAAGAGGAAAAATCTTAATATTAACTGTTTATATATTAGGGAAAACAAAAAACTGAATATTAGTACAGTACATATCCATTTCAAGAAATTGAAAAAAATAAATTAAAAAACTGACAGTAAATTTTAAAAAATTAAAAACAAAATTTAAAGAAACTAAAGGAAAGTTTAAAGGTAAGAATACAAATTAATGAATAAAAAAATCATGATATAAGACAGAAACAATGCAAAAAAATAGTTCACAGGAGAGCATTAGCAAAATCAATAAACTGATATTTCAAATATGGAACACACACATAAACGAAGGAGGACAACACAACTACAGAAGACTAAAAAATTATGTATGTTATGTAAAAGAAAAGAGACACACAATAAACTCACAGTATATTATTCAGGTAAAAAAAATTTAAATAATAAAAAAGAAAAATCATCAAAAACTATAAATAAGTACAATGATTCAAGAAAAAACAGAAAAACTAAATAATCTCATTATTATTAAATAAACCAATCAGTAAGTAGAAAAAAATTAAAAATCAATAGGGGGGGAAAAAACCCAAAAGCCCCAAATGATTTTACTGGTAAGTTTAACCAAATATTCATACAAATATCTTTCACAAGCAAAATAAAGATGCAAAAATCCTAAAAATTAGAAAACCAAATCTAGCAATGCATCAAAATGTTACAATCATTATTTTAAGCATGCTAAACTGAGTGAAAGGAAGAAAATTAACTTATCAACAAAAATAATATGATCAATTCAACAGATATTGATAAAATTCACTAGCTATTCATAATTAAAATCATACCAAATCAGGAACAGAAGGGAGTATCCTACACCAAGTAAAGGGTATTCTCCAAAATCCTATAACAAACACCTCATTTATACTCCAGCACACTCCATTCTTCTGTTCCTCAAAAACAACAAACTCAATCTCACTTTAGATGCTTTGCAGAAACTTCTTTCTGCCTCCAACAGATGTTCTTATGGTTGGCTCTTTTTTCTCACTCTTTTCTCAGCTCAGAAACAGTCTCAATGGGCTTTTCCTGAACCCTCAGCACCAACTCCTCCAAACTTTATAAATTCTATAATTTTATTTAGTACAAGTTTAGCCATCATCAGCTGACTTGGGTTGTTTATAATTTGTTAAGACTGGATAAATCTCATTTTGTGCAAATGAGAAAACACTCTCTGGAACAGATATTTGCTCAACAGAACAACCAGGTAAAAGACTACCTGCTTTTAGAATACTATACATTTAGAATACTAGAATACTATGTATTCTAAATGCTGAAGATATGGCCAAAAAGAGTATACAAATTATACTTCCATTAACAGGGCATGACAGCATCCATTTCCTTATACTTTTATATTACTGGGGTTTATTTTTAAATTTTCCTAAGCTATTTTATACTTATGGGCCATTTATTTTAATTTTGTGTGCAATTTCTTTGCTCATTTTTACATTAGGTTGCTTATAAATTTTTACTCATTTGTGTGAGGCATTGATATTTCAGTAATTTTAAAACCTGTACTATTTTTGTGCTAAAAATATTTTCACCCATTTATTGCTTAACTAAGGTATCACTATTTTTAACTGGCTTTTAAACAGCCTAAATTTCCTATTTGACTTTTATTGACTACTGGGATTCTTGTTCTGGTTAAAAAGGACTTCCCCATTCCTAATGTTTAAAAAATATTCTGTATTTCTATTATTTTCTAAATTAGATAATTTTTCACTTGACATTTAATATACTTAGATTTTATCTACATGTCTGATATTAGTCAAAGTTCTTAATTCAGTTAAAAAATTAATAGCCAACTTTCCCAATTCAATTTGAATGATTTATACCTGTGATACAGTAATATATTAAAAAATACATATTTGGCCTCTGCCTCCATTCTGGGCACAGAACTCCTAATCCCTTGGAATTTCCTGGGTAACAGGAGTGCCTTTTGATCTAAGGAGGTAACTCTTGTGGCTTCTTGAATAGGGGCTGGTCACCAAAAAGACCAAACCATGATTAAAAGACAAGTACTTTCAGTACCACCCCACACATACCCTCTGGGAAGGGGAGGGAGGGCTGAGATTGAGTTAATAATCAGTCATGCCTAAGTGATGAATCCTCCAACAACAACAACAACAAAGAATCCCCAAGTTATGAAGTTTAGAAAGCATCAGGGTGTGCAAAAAGGGTGGTACACTTCAATTCTATGAGGACAAAAGCTTTCATGACTCTTCCAGACCTTGTCCTATCTCTCTCTATTTGGTTGTTCATTCATTTGTATCCTCTGTAGAATCTTTTACAATAAATTGGTAAACCTAAATTCTTTGAGCTGACTTAGCAAATAACTGAACCCAAGGAAGGAAACATGGGAACCCCAATTCATAGCTTGTTGTCAGAAATGCAGGTCACAAAATGAAATTTGAAAATGGCCTCTGATGGTACAGTCTTGAGGAATTGAGCCCTTAACCTTTGGACTCTGCACCAACTTTAGTTAGTATCAGACCTGAACTGAATTGCAGAGTATAGAGAAAAATACCCATACATCTGGTGTAAGACATGTGCTGTCAGGTGAGTGTTATGTTGTATTAAATGTGAGAGGATCAAAAACAATTTATTTTTTCCTATTTCTTATAATACCTTACACTAAAACAGCTACAGTTACAATAAGTTAAATTCTCATACACATTTACATCTTTTCTTGGTTTCTCCATTTGTTCCTCTAAACTTTTATATCAGTACCATATAGTTCTACATCAACAGTATTACAGTATACTTTAACATCCAGTACATAAAAGTCTTATTCACAATTCTGCTTTTTCAAATTCTTGGGTTTGCTGGCACACTTATTTCTCAAGATGAAATTCAGAATTAACTTGCAACTTGTAAACTTACCTGTTGAGACTCTTGCTGGAATTCTATCAAACATACTCAATAATTTGGAGAAGAACTAATATATTAATGATAACATTAATCTTATGTTTCTAGAACAATAATCTGCTTTTCTATTCAGGTCTTGGTTTTGTATAAAATAGTCTTTTTTTTAGTAAGGTGGGTATAATTTTTTTTTTTTTTTTACTTTTTTTTTTAACTTCCTATGTCTATTTCTCATCTGTAATAAATAAAAATTTTCCAACAATTTTAGGCAAATATTATTTCCTTATATTCTGTAAAATGATAAGGCCTTCAGATGTACCTTTAAAAGTTTTTCAGCTCAAAAGTTACAAAACTTTCCAAAAATACTCCAAAACATCCTTAAAAATCATCTAAATAATGTATCAAAAAGACAAAATGTATGTACAAGGATTGTCCCCTTGATTTAATCACAAATAACAATTCTGATCTATCAGAAATAGCTCCCGAGAAGGAGATAACAATTGAGAATATGCAGGCTCAAAGGAAAAGAATATCGTGATAAATTATCAATATCTTGATAGGGGATGAAAAATGATAACAGAAATGTTGAGTATTCATTACATATGAAATTCATCAAACTATAGTAGAATTATATTGTATTTCAACAGTAGAATTATAGAGAAAAGGCTTTCATTCTCAATGTTACATACTTTGCATTTTTAAAAACTACCTATTTTAAAATTGGCAAAAGCTAACAGATGAAATATAGCAACTTCTTTTTTGTTTGTTTTTGGTACTGGGGATTAAACTTAGGGCCCTAAACCACTGAGCCATAGACAGGGTCTCACTAAGTTGCTTATTAGCATCTTGCAGCTGCTGAGGCTGGCTTTGAACTCGCAATCCTCCCACCTCAACTGCCCAAGTCTCTGTGATTACAGGTAGGCATAGCAGCAACTCCTTTTTTTTAAAAAATATTTTTAGTTGTAGGTGGACACAATATCTTTATTTAATTAATTTATTTATTTTTATGTGGTGCTGAGGATCGAATCCAGAGCCTCACACATGCTAGGCAAGTGCTCTCCACTTAGCTACAACCCCAGCCCATGAACTTCTTAATGAAAATTTAGCAGTGGTATACAGAAATGTCCTTGAGAATTTTTCCAAAATAAAATTCTTATGATTAAAGTTTTAAAAGCTGCATTTAAAAAATTTTGTTTACATCAAGTACTCTTCAAATATTACTTTCAATATTTATGCCATAATGTTCTATCAGTTCTTCTTTCCAAAGTCATCAGGAAAGCACAAATAGAAACTAAGAAATTATACAGAAAAAAGATGGTCTTAGGGCTTGTAACACTTACAATTCAATTTCAACCATGCCTTTCGAACATCCTCTCTTCACAAAAAACCCAACCTAATGTGTAAAAAAGAAAAAAATTAGTTATATGATGACAGTCCCATGGTAACAGAAACTTGGAAAATCATATTTGTCAAATCAAGATTTACTTCAACAATTACTTGAATGTCTATTCCCACCACTTTCTAAAGGCATTCTTCTCAAATCTAGGTTCCTCTCTATTCCCTCCCACAAATAAGAACAGCTAAAATTTATGGAACTTCTATGTGCCAGGTAGTTAGATTCTTACATAGCTTGTGACAAAGCCAGTAAGTGTCAGAAAATGGTTCTGAATCTGGGTAACCTAGCTCTAGGGCCTGTGTCCTTAGCCACTGTACTAAACACTCTCAGAAGATTTTAAAAGGCTGGTGATAAAATAGGTGCTATAATACAACCACAAAGTCCTATACTAAACCTGATACTGAAGACTTCTGCAGAGTTGCACAGGTTAAATGCTAAGTCACTCTAATATTAGCTGTTATTAATTACGGTAATTGTCACCGAGCCATCATTTAAAAAGGAGGAATATAATTACATAGTAAAAGAGACAGTAGAGCTAGTTTCCATGCGACTATGAGCATAAGCATGAAAAAAGACCCTGGGCCTCAGATTGGATCTTAATCATTAAGCTGTATGTATTCTCTGGGCCTTTTCATCCTTCTGGGTCTCAATTCCATCATATGTAAAAGGAGTGGCTCGTAAGAATTAAGTGTAAGTGATTATTAGCATAGCAGAATATGGTAAGGGCTTAGTAAATGTTAATGTTATGGTTATAATCCTCATCACTGTTATTACCACTGTTAAAAGATTATTATTTGCAAGGTGTATTTTCTATTACTTTTAGTACTTATTGCTTAGTTACAGATTGATTTTTGTATTAAGAGTACTGACTTTAACATTCACATCTAGATTCAAATCCCAACTCTACTACATACAAGTTTTATGATCTTGACCAGGTTATTTAACTTTTTAAAATTCCTCATAGACAGGGAAAATAATGGTATCTTTGTAGTAGCTAATTGTTACATTAGCTTGCAACAATTAAAATACTTAGTACAAATGAGAAGGAAAAAATTAGGAAGCAGTTTTTATTATAGCATTGCTTGTGTAAAATTTTATACTAGAATTTTAAACAAAAATATAATATCAAAATATTTTTGCTAAGAACTTAAGCATTCCCTAATTACTAAATCTATGAATATCCCAAGGGCTGAAATGTGTGTCTAGGAAATACTGTATCCACCACTTCCACTAAAAATCCCACCAACCCAAGGATGAGATGTAGTTTCTTTATGACAAAAATAAATACAGAATATTTATAAAAATTATCATAGACAAATTCATGCCAAATGTACACTGCTTGGAATATAGTCTAACAGACCATGAGACAGGCACAAATCTAACTCATGATCTGGTAACTAAGAAACTATACATCAATATTCATAAAAATTGGTCCTTGGACAATTAACTATTGATCTTTGGGGATTAACTACTTCAACTCCTTTAAAGAAAAACTATTCAGACCATTGTTCAAGGTTACAAAGCTAATTATTAATAATGAAAATATATTTTCCACTTCATAAATGCCTTCAATATAATATTGAAAACATTTTGAATGAGCTTATTTATAATCTTAAGGGGTATTTTCTTCAATCTCATAACCCTATATTAAGTCTAGCTATAAAACTTTTAATATCATGTACATTTCAAGCTTTAAAAATAAATTTTACAACTAAATTCTCAAAAGATTTCTGGGGATTGAACCCAAGGGTGCTTTAAACATCCCCATACCATTTCTTTTTTTACTCTGAAATGGGGTGTTGGTTAGGGTCTCCTTTCATTGCTTAGACAGGCCTTGAACTTACAATCCTCCTGCTGAGCCACTGGAATTACAGGTGTGTACCACCAGGCCTGGTTTTTTCCTGCCTATTTATATTCCAAGTTATTATTTCCTTATTATACAGTCTGGATATCAACATTTTGTTATACATTATAATACCAATCCCACATGTCTTAATTATTCTAACTTCATATTAAATCTTTCTATCTGATAGGGCAAGTTTTCCTACTTTCTCCTGTTTCTTTAAGATTACATTAGTGATACTCTTTTGTATCACTCTATATCAAGCCTACCTTTAATTTGCTATATAGAATCCTGGGATTTTTACTGGAATAATATTAAATATACAGATCAATGTGAAGAAAGACATTTTTATAAAAATAACATATAAAATATCTCTCCATTTACTCAAAACTTCAATGATTTTAAATAAAATTTTATAATTTCTGCACATAATTTTTTTTTGGTAGTGCTCGGGATCAAACCCAGGGTCTAGTGCATGCTACACAAGAATTTTACTGCTGAGCTACACCCCTAGTCTCTGCTCATAGGTCTTACATGACTTCAATCAACTTATTTCTGTGCAACTTATTGCTAGTATTTAATAAATGATATGTATCTTAATTGCATTTTTTGTTCATTGTTATCCTACAGAAACAAAACTAATTTGGGTCTAATCTTATATTTAGCAATCCTGATAAATTTCCACATTAATTCAGTCTTGCCTAGAGAGCTTTTTTGATTTTTAGGCAAACATTCATACATATAATCTTAGAATGATAGGGGTTTTTTTTTTTCAATTCTCTATCTTTTTTTATGTTACTATTCTGCCCATAACTGTCAATACAATGTTAATAGTAGTCAAAGTAGATAACCTCAACTTGTTCTTGAGCTTGCTATTTTCATAATCTTTTATGAAATTAAGCAAGTTCCCTTTATTCCTTATTAGTTTTAATCACAAGTTACTGTGGAATTTAACTGAATACTTTTTTCCCTCTGTACTGAGATGATCATGCAGTTCTATTTTAAAACATATATTCATTTTTCCCAAATGAAATTCACTTTGGCCATAATATATTATGCATTTTATCTACAGGTTCAGTATTCCTTACCCAAAATATCTGGGACCAAAAGTGTTTCAGATTTTTATTCTTTTTATTTTTAAGAGTACTGGCATATAAATAATGAAGATACTGTGAGGATGGGACCCAAGTCTAAACACAAAATTCATTGTTTTACATACACTTAATATACACAGTCTAAAAGTAATTTTAGACTGGTATGTGTACATATTTTTTGAAGTACTGAGGATTGAGTCCAGGGGTACTCTACTAAGCTACATCCCCGGCACTTTTTATCTTTTATTTTGAGATGGGGTCTCACTAAGTTGCAGAGGCAGGCCTTGAACCTGAGGTTCTCTTCTGTCATCCCTCTTCATCCCCAGGAGCTGGGATTATAGGCATATACTACCATGCCTGGCTAAGACAATATTTTTCATAATTTCATGCATTCAGCAAAGGTAACAGTGAGGAATTCTTCATTTTGGCATTACATATTTTGGATTTTGGATTTCTGGATTAGGGAAGCTCAATTTTTCTTTCTTTAGTGAGGAACTCAGATTTTGTTCATTTTTTTCCTGCTCCCATTCTAGGAAAAGTACTACTTAAATTCTGTATTCTGAAATTAATTATAATATATGCATTTATGGATTTCTTTCATTTTTTCTGTGCAGGATTTATTAGGCTTCTTGAATATGAAGACTCAAGGTTTCCAACATTTCTGGAAATTTCCTAGTCATTCTCTGAATATTACCTCTTCCTTAGTTTACTAACTCCCCTTGGAACTGTAATTAGATATACACCTGACTATCTTCCTTTACCCATTTAACCTTGGTTATATATTCTTTTTATCTCTCTATTACATTTTCAGAAACTTTTTCAAACACCTGAGTACACAAATTCTCTTCTCAAATATGTCTTCTTTGCTGCTTTATCTTTCTACCAAGTTCCTCTCCTTCATTAACAAACTTTTCACTTCTTTAAGCTCTATCTGATTATTTTTCAAACTGAACTGATCTTTTTGTCACTTATTTGCTATACTTGTAAACTTATTTTATTTTCTCAAATTAAATACACTTAGTTTATATTATATATCTGCAAGCTTTGTAAGTCTGGTTGTACAGTCTGGTTGTTTTTTTTTTTTAACTTATTTTACTCATATTCTCCTAGGTTTTGTAATTTTTAGGTATCAATGGATTTCTTGTAACTTTGTTAAAATTCTTTAAGAACTGGATTAAATGTTCTTTCTTTTGTTGTTGTTGTCAACAACAGACCTTTATTTTATTTATTTATATGTGGTGCTGAGATTTGAACCCAGTGCCTCACACATGCTAGGCAAGTGCTCTACCACAGAACTACAACAGTAACCCCCAAATGTTATTTTTCTTTAAAAGATTTAGATTGGTTCCTGCCAGGTTCCTATAGATATTACTAATTCACACCACCTTAAACTATCAAAATTTATGATCTTTAGGTCATATAAGTAATACAAACTCTGGTCCCAAACATGTGATTATGAAGTTTTAGGAAGACCTCCTTTTTCTCCCCAACTCTAGATCTAACAATGAGGAGTAAGTAAATCCCCTGTTCAATTCTATAGTATTGTTGTTAAATTTAACACATAGCACTACTAGGTTTTATCTTCTAGTCCTTCTCTACCTTTAAGATGCCCTAAACCTGTACAAAACAATTCAAAACAAGGCTTTAATGTACAAGGTATCGGCAAATGCCCCTTGGAGAAACTATTCCAGAACTTGCTTATGTCTTCAGATTCACAATGTTTTGTTTCTGCCCTTGGTCTGGCAATTCATTTAAAAAAATAACATATTACATATCTAGGACTTCAATTAGTAGGTACTTGGAGAATTCTCTAAATATATGGTATAATACACTTCTATAAATGATAATCTCCTACCTTCTCCACCTGCCAAATTCATTCATTATATTCAAACACTACAAATTTGCTATATTCAAGAAACTGAGAAGTAGAAATTGATTTGTTTCTAAAAATAACTAATGGCTTTGAATTTTCCTAAAATGTAATTTACATGTATGTAAAAAAAAATGTAACAACAAATCCCACCATATGGGAATACAACTATAATGCAATAATAAAAAAGTGGAAAGAAAAAAAAATGTAATCAAAGTTACTTACCTTATCTGCCCGTCCCATGAAAGCAGGTTTGCCAGCTAATCCAAGGCAAATGGCACACACGATGCTTGACTTCCCTGTTCCATTGGCTCCAATAATCATATTCAAGTGAGGTCCAGGAGTTACTTCACAGATATCATATGTTCTGTATTATAAAAGGGTAAAAATTTGAAGCAGGGTAAGAGGAGAAAAAAATATTTTCTTTAAAAAAGCACTTTGGGTCCAAACATGGTGGCATATGCCTGTAATCCCACAAACTCAGGAGGCTAAGGCAGGAAGATCACAAATTCCAGGCCAGTCCTCAGCAACTTACTGAAGCCCTAAGCAACTTAGTGAGACCCCGCCTCAAAACAAAAAAAGAGCTGGGAATGTAGGTCAGTGGTAAATTGTTGCTGGGTTAAATCCCCAGTACCAAAAGAAAAAAAAGCACTTCGGGGGAAGCAGGACACTGGGGACTGAACCCAGAACTTCACACGTTAGACAAGTGCTCTACACTGAGCTACATTCTCAGCCATTTAAATTTTATTTTGAGACAGGGTCTTAGTAAGTTGCCCAGGCTGGTCTTGAACTTCTAATCCTCCTGCCTCAGCCTCCCAAGAAGCTGGGATTACAAGGGTACACATACCACCATGCCTGGCTCAAAAGCTCTTTTTTCTTGCTTTATATTATCATTATCTAAGACCTTCTGCGTGGGTTCTCTCTCATTCAGTGAGAACAGGGTAGAGGAGAGTGTGGCTTCGGAGTCGATAATCAAGACCTCCGGAGACCAAGCAGGAAGCAGGTCTGATTTTATTGCGCAGTTACCATATATATATAATCAGGTAGGAGCTAAGCAGATTACAGGCAGCCACCAATGCAATTTCTCATAACTGTCCTTGCAACAACCAATAGAGGAGTGGGCTGTGGAGCAAGCACTGGGACTGCAACACATGGCCTCATTATCAGGTAAGCAGACTACAGCTCATGTGCCTAGCACAAGGGGAGTGGCCTGCCACTCAGATGCCCTTAACATGTCACGTATGCAGTACTCCATGCACTTGTCCCCACAACCTTCCTCAAATTCACTAAAAAAAAAAAAGGTATTCTTACAAACTTGATGCAATTTATATGGCTTTTTGTTTGTTTGTTTAAGAGGAATGTTAGGGATCAAACCATGGCCTCCCATATGCTAGCTAAATACCCTACCACTAAGCGATACCCCAGTCTTACAGGATTTTTAATAGAGGGAAAAAAAAAACCTATCAGTAGAAGAAATGAAAAGGTGATAATGCATATCAAGATAAGAACTTCTCTGCAAACCTAAGATTACTTATGTCTTTTCAAAAATAGGCCTATTATCACTGGGCATGGTGGCATACGCCTATTGATCCCAGTGACTTGGGAAGCTGAGGAGGAAGGGATTGCTAGGTTCAATACCAATCTCCACAACTTATTAAGATCCTAGCTCAAAATAAAAAATAGAAAGGGCCAGGCAGTGGCACATGCCTATAATCCCAGCAGCACGGGAGGCTGAGGAAAGAGGATCCCAAGTGTAAAGCCAGCCTCAGCAAAAGTGAGGCACTGACCAACTCAGTGAGACCCTGTCTCTAAATAAAATACCAGAAAGGGATGGGGACGTGGCTCAGTAGTTGAGTGCCCCCAGAATTCAATATTCAGCATGTCCACCGGAAGGAAGGGAGGGAGGGAGGGAGGGAGGGAGGGCGGAAGGAAGGGAGGGTGGGCTGTGGATGTAGTTCAATGTTAGAATACCTCTGGGTTTAATCCCCTGGTACTTACCTCCCAAAATATTTCCAAAAAAGTTAAAGGATAATATAATTCATCCTTTTCAAAATAACTACAATTCATGGTAACTATATCAAAGCTACTAAAGAAATTATTTTTGGGGGGAGGGGGGGCTACCAGGGATTGAATCCAGGGGCTTTTAACTACTGAACCACATCTTCAACCCCCCCACCTCATCCCCCTTTTTTAAATTTAAGACAGGGCCTGCTTCCCTAGGTTGCTTAAGGCCTTGGTAAGCTACCATGGTGCCTAGCTGTACAAATAACTTTTACACAAATTTTGGGAGAGGATATGGATTTTCTAATTTTATATTTATATTTCTCTTGAATTAAAATGCTTAAATGGCTACTTACTATATTTTAATTTTGAAATAAACCCAACCAAATTATTTCTATTTAAATTAAAAAGGTAAAAAGATACATCAACCCAATGACTTGTCAAATTTTTAAAAATAACATTTATTTTTAAATATGCTCCCATAAGATTTACCAAAGAATCTATGTTTGAATAATCTTTATTCCTATGAGAGAAAGCAAGAATGCTTTACCACCAAGCATGTTTGTAATATTCTCTCATGTCATAAAGTCTCTACTTGCAGTAGTATCTAATCCTTAGGAGTTGCCAGCTTTGGCAAAATGTGAAGTAAACTTTGACTCCAACATTTTCTAACTTGTCTTTGAATAACCTGAATTGGAACCCATAAATATCTTTTGCCTGCAATATTTCAGTTATCTCTCAGATATAGCTTCCAACTAATTCCCCAAGAAAAAATGCTTAGCTTGCTACTAATTTGTCAAGTATATAAGTAACGTAATTGAACACATTTCTGTTTTAATGCTTTCTAACCCCATACCTCTGTATAGCATCTACTTTGTCTTTTCAGATGCTTTGTTTTGTTAGCAGTGGGTCTTAGATGAAACCTTATTACGATTAAAATAACAGAGTTTGGCAACTTCAGACATTCAGGAAATTTTCAACATAGAACTTCTCTTAACACATAAAAGCCCCATTCTTTTAATAGCTGAATTCCTTGCTGTGAAATCTCTGTGCAAATATCATACTAAAATAGTGATACAACTGATATTTAACAATAAAAACAACAGGGAAAAGCTTGAGAATTTCTAGTCTACAATAGAGAGATATTACAAGTAAGTAACTTGCCACAAACAAAACAAAACTTCTGCACTTTTAAAATTCATTCTTCTGAGCCAGGTGCAGTGAGGCTTGCTTGTAATCTCAGCTCCTCAGCTACTGGAGAGACTGAGGCAGGATCATCAGCCAACTCTGGCAACAGTCAGACCCTGTCTCAAAATAAAATCTTTAATCACAGCAACTCAAGAGGCCGAAGTAGGAGGATTGCGAGTTCAAAGCCAGCCTCAGCAACTTAGCAAGGCACTTAGCAACTCAGTGAGACCCTGTCTCTAAATAAAATACAAAAAAAGGTCTGGGGATGTGGTTCAGAGCCCCTGGGTTCAATCCTTGATACCAAAAATAAATAAATATCCTCCTATTGTCAAAGGCCCACTCTCTCCTCATTCAACAGACTTTGTTAGCATCTCATATAAGTATTCTTCATGGTCTCAGGTAGCATTTACTTTTGGAATGTCAGCCCAGATGGCTTAAATATGAAATTTCCTCCTCAGTAACTCAATTTGGATGTCCCATAAAAATCACCTTAAACTTAACACATTATCTTTCCCATCCCAAACCACTCTTGTGGTCACTTAGTAAACAGTTTCATCATTTATCTCATTTCTGTAACAAAAACCTAGGCATCTGTTTTACATCACCTTTCATTCTTTCATTTCTTGCTTCTACCCACACTTATCCCCACCCTCCAATCATTCAATCATTAGGTCTTGTTGGAAGACATGCAAATATGTCACTTGTTAAAAAAAAATTAAAGGAACAAAGGACCCTTTGTAATTTAGTCCTTGCTTCATCTTTCCACTTTTTTCTAGTCTCTACTAAGACTTCTAAATTCTACCTATAATGTAATTCTTCAGTTGTTTGACAAGCTATGCTTCCTCCTCTAAGACTTTGTACTCTGTTTCTTCAACCTAGATATCTCTCCTTCTATTCCCACTTCCATTGGTCTTGGTTCACTCATAGGAACCTCTCTCTACTCTTTCCAGGTCACTTGAGTTCTCTAAGTCTATCCCTTCTACTCCTTTACTAATTCTCTCAGCCTACCTCTTCCTACTTCACTCCAAAAATTCAAAGCCTTCTCATCATTAAAATAAACAAAATCTCACCTAGCTCTGTACCTTACAAGCAGTTTTCTTTCACTTTGAATCCAACCTTTACTTCCTCATTCCTCATTCATTCTTCTGCTTTCTTTTCCAATGCTTCATCAAATGGTCAAGGACTTCCTAATTGTTAAGTGCAATGGGCTCTTTTCAATCCTGTTGTGTGACTTCAATGTGGCAGATGAAACATTCTTTTGCCTTAGCTCCTCCGAGTAACAATCTCCCATAGTTCTCACTTTATCTCCCTGAATAGTTCCTTTTCAGCCTAAGATCTTCTTTCACCAGTAGATGTAAAGTCTTCTATTCCTCTAATTTATATTTTGTTTTGGTCAATCTCAAAAATCTTTGTAATCTCAACCAATTATCTAGATGCATGATTCCCAAATCTTTGACCTGTTCATAATTTTGTGAGTTCTCTTAGACATCCCACAGGAAACTTTAAGTCACAGGACCTAAGAGGTATGTATTATTTGTTCGAACACTGCTCACTTTTCTGAATTGCACCACACTAGTAAGACAAGGTAGGGACTTTGGGAAAGACTGCACTCCTCTCTCCACCTTCCTTTTCCTCACAATGTGTAGCCAGACCCTGCCAATCTCTTCCTTTTGGCTCAGTTACTACTATGTTCAAACTCTTATCTCTTGCCTTTAGATTGAAAAAGTCTTCTTGCCTCCAATCTTGTATCCTTTCTAAATAAATCATGCTTCATATTGCTACCAGATTAACAGAAACTACACCATACCCTGCTTAAAACTCATCCAGACTGTCTACAAGAGAAATTTCTTAGCATGGTAAAAATACAGAGACTCATTGATTGCCTATCTTTATCTACATACATATTCACTCACATTCTTGTCATACTGAAATACTTGACACTTCCTAAAATATTCCAAACTTTCTTTCACGCAGTTCCTTCTACCGGTAATGCTCTTTCCTTCATTTAAAGATTTTCATATTTTCTTTACAAGGCTCTTTCTCACAGTTGAGGATGAAATTAATCACTACATCCTTTGTGACCCCATAGCATCCTGATACATGTTATTATGGATTCTACCTACTTGACTACATTTATGTTTCCTTATCTGGATTCAAACAGCAATTCAGCTCCTTATTAGGTATATAAACCTGGGCAAAATTAACCTCTCCGCATTTAACTCAGATAAGATTTAAGATATAGTTAGGGAGAAATAAATAGCAATGAATCAATAGAACACCTAGTTCTGTACCTGGCAAATAAGTGCTTGGGGAAAAAAATGGTGGTATTGTTACAACAATCTGTGACTCTATGCCATTATGGGTAAGCTTGTTTAAAAAAAAAAAAAAGAAAACAACAACAACAAAAAGGCCTTAAAAATGAACTGTAACGCGCTAGATACATATTTTTGTTACAACATATTTAGGTTCTAAAATGATAACTAGTTGTCTAAAAGAAGAGATGAGGATCCAAGGAAGAGAGCTGGATTTGGAGGAGTCAAGGGTCTATAGGAAAGTACAGCAACTGGGTAAGGTTTTATTTTTTGGTACACTCTAAACCCCCATCCAGCACAACCATTACCATCTTATCTACTCTGTCCACCGTGCTAATGCCTATACTTCAAAAAATCTGCCACACATCACTGTCACTCTGATATAATTGTTGCCTCTGAATTCCCAGGGCAATACTTTTGAGAATTGCAGATTAAGTCCTCTTTAGATCGCGACTCCCAGCAGGCAGAGACCTAATCACTTAATATCTCTACTGACTGCCATACGACGCCTTCGAGAAAACGTTGGCGGAATGAATAAAACAACACACAAGACACATCCCAACAGCAACACACGTCAGTCTCCACGGCCTAGGAGAGTAACCCTCCAGGGGAACCTGGCTCGAATTCCGGGGCACTCAGGCCAGGTACACACCCACACGCCCATCCCCGCCCCCGCCTGGCGCCCCCGGCTTGCGGGCCACCTGGCCTGCCCTGCCTCGGCGCGGCCTCAGGGCCACTCACAGGAAGTTCTCCATCGCGATGCGGACTATAGAGCCCTCCACAAAAGGCCCGGACGACTGCAGCAGCGACGACGGTGGCGGGGCCAAATTCTTTCTCTTGCTCGGGACCTCCGAGGAAGGATCCCTCGGGAAAGCCCTCTTGGAAGCCAGAGGGCTCGGATTCGCTGTTTTCCTGCTTGGAGTCGCCATCCTGGCTTCCTCGGCGTCCCGCTTCCGTTCCCAGCGACCTGCAGCCCAGGGGCCTAGGCGCCCCGCTCCCGCGCGAACTGGCCGCCGCGCGACGCCTGCGCAGTTCCGCCCCGGCGGCGTCAGCGGACACGCTCCGCCCAGCCAGAGGCCTGGCCTGAGAGGCTGGAGGGGCGGGAATCTCGGGACTTGAACCCCGACCGTCTTCTCCATAAATGTAGGCTTTGTTTTGTTTTGTTTTGTTTGAGGTTTTTTGTTGTTGTTGTTTTATTTTTAATTAAACTTCAGGGAAAGATGTCAAGTACATTTAGTGCTTTGAAATCTACTTGAGCGCTTTCCAATCCGTCCACCCGTCTGCGGTGGGTGGCACCTGAGGCGACTGGAGTCGTTTCTTAGGGGTTTTCCCTAGAGTCCGCCCCAGAGCTGCGGGGCATATCGGTGTCTGGTTTCTCTTTTCGGGTTCCTTCTCCTTTTTCTCAAATCAGTTCCTTGTCTCAAAAGAACGAGAAAGAACCCCTTTCAATATCCGCTTCTCCTGTATGGCACCATTAAGGCCTTCAATGTTCCGGAGCTTAGGAAGACTGCGCTGCACCCAATACCTTCGCCACTTCTCCACCTCTGGCTCCTTGATTCCCTGCTCAGACCTCCTCCCCCGGAGCTTCTAGAAATGCCTTAGCTAGGAAGTGCTGGCTTCTTTAAGAATGTGGCTTTGTGGGTGGCTGGCTGTACTTCAGCGTGCTCGCAGCATTCAACTAGTTAGTCCCCTCACCACAAAAAAGGGCACAGAGAGCCTGCAGAGATCGCCTTGGTTCCACTAATAACGGGCGGCCTCTGATCAGCAAGAGGATGGGGCCATTGGAGAAAAAGGGTTGCATCTATCAGAGCTGACGTTCTAGCCTGGACGTGTGAACCAACAAATGATGAAGATTTCAGGCTGTGATAGGTGCTCTAGGAAAATAAAGCAGGATTAATGGGGTGGGGAGGAGTGGAAACCGTGTCATAGAAGGTGGTGTTTGAGCTAAACTCTGAAGAAACAAGTGTGTGATGCTCTGAGAAAAGGGCTCTGAAGAGGAAACAACGTGGGATATTTGTGAAACAAAGGGGAGGCCCACGTGGCTACTGAGGAGTGAAAGGGGTTGTGTAACAGCCTTATCCATCATTACAGAGGCTGAACTTTATTTTAAAAGCAACTTGGGCCTGGGGAGAAGCAGCCCTTCAATCCTCAGCATCATAACACCCACCAGGAAAGCAATGGGGAGGGCTGGGATGTAGCTCAGTGACAAAGCATCTGCCTTGCATTCGCAAAGCCCTGGGTTCGATCCCCAGTTCCAAAAAGAAAAAAAGCATTGGGGAGCCACAAAATCCGGTGGTTTCAGCAGGAGAAAGACATGATCTGATAAAAGTTTCTAAGTGATCATTTTGGTTCCCGTGGGGAGAGCTGATTGGAAAGGGGTCAGAAGTGGAAATGAAGAGACCATTTAGAAAGCTCCTGCAGCAGAACCTTGTTCCTAACTTCTAAAGTTTTCCCAGATCCCTGCTTCTTTCTCTCACTCAAATGGAATTTGCTTTCTAGAAAAGTTACAGCCAAATAAAATAGACTAAGTAAAAAGTATGTGAACTTATGATGATCACTAGAAAAAAAATTCAAATGCAAATTAAAATAAAGAATGATTTTTAAAATGTTCAAAAGCAGAGATGAAAATACACAATGCTGTTCTTCCCTACACAGCTAGTATATGTATTCTTTGAGAATTTCATGCTTTGCTTTGAAAACCTTAGAAAAGTTAAATTATTTGAAGAAGTAATTAGATTTGAGGGAATCTATTCTACAGACAAATAAGACTATAGACAACAGTGAAAGGAAAATGAGGAACCTGGAGCCAGGCAAATGAGAAATGAAAGATGGACACCAGGCAGAGACACACACAGCTGACAAAGACCATCTCTCCATAGATGGAGAGAGGCTATATATGCTAGGGTTCCTTGATTTAATGGGGCAGACTCAGGGATTAGAGCAGAGCAGGTCCTAATGCAAGTGGTTAAGAGTGGGGTTGGTATGAAGGAGTGGTGATATGCCCTTGGGAAGGAAAGAATGCAGGTGGTGAAGGGTTGGTTTGGTATGAGGGAATGGTGAGCTTTTCTCAGAAGCACCGGAAACTTTTTCTTAAGATGGAGGCTGTCACTTAAGATGGCCATCCAGATGCTAAGCAAGGACCTTACAAACAGTAATTGGAGTTGAGAGCAGGGATCCAATCTTAACACTTTTTATCAGTTTTTCAGTGCAGTAGTCAAATTTTGTTTCTAAACTTAAAAGTTGAGAATAAACCTCTCAACATGTGATTATTCCACAAATGCAGACATACTATGAGTTCTAAACAACTAGTCAGTCATGCTTAACACCTTCCTTTAAAAAAAAATATTGATTTTACTTAGAATTACAAAAGCAACACCTATTAAATGCTGAAAATTTGAGAAAGCACAAAAAGGGAAAAAACTCAAAATTCCTTTCTTCAAACTACTCATTAAGATTTTGGTGTGTTTTGACATGATAATGGATAAATTGTATTATTTATACTGTTATTAATCCCCACTTAATATATTGATAATTTTCTATGTCATTAAACATTTTTTATAACACAGTTTTAAGTAATGATATAGTCATTTTTTTAAATAGATATACCACTATTTGTTTGAATAGTTGTCTTTTGTTGGACTTGATATGACTGGAAATTAACATGATTCAAGGCTATGCTGGCAATGGGGAGACATTGAATGGCTTTAAGCAGGAGAGAGACAATCTGGCAGACTATTTATTAGTCTCTCAGTGCTTCCTAACATACTTTAAAGGTTTCATGCACCCTTGAAAGTATACATGTTTATCTTCCCACATCTGGATTTTTTTATTTTTTATTTTTTTGGTGGCACTAGGGATTGAACTCAGGAGAACTATAACCAACAAAAGACATCCCCAAATCTTTTTTATTTTGAGAAAGGGTCTCACTAAGTTACCCAGGCTGGCCTCAAACTTGAAATCCTCAGCCTCATCCTTCTGAGTAGCTGGGATTATAGGAGTGTAACACCATACTTGGCCACTTTTGAATTCTTTCTTTCCTCCACTTCAAGAACTTCCTTGAAAGGGGTGATATTGTAAAGGCAGATAGAGAAGTTCTTTGGAAATAGAATAGCAATTACCCAGAATCTGATGCTAATAAATGAGTAAGCCACAACAGCTAATCCTACACTTGTCGGGGTATAAAGTAGGTTATCCACTAACCTCATCACCCTCTCCTTGCTAACTAATAGATATGGCAAAGCAATTATATTTAACTTTCTGCTGACCAAAGAAAAAGTGACCTGAGGTCATTCTGACTGACAATTTTCCAATTCTGTAGAAACATTAAAAACTGATACAAACAAAAAGCTGGCAAACATGTTAGGGGCAAGAATTATAAATATATTTTACTTCACCATTAGAATATCATTGTTTTAGTCTGTGCTGCTATAAGAAAATTTCATAGACTGGGGCAGCTTATAAACAACAGAAATTTATTTCACACAATTCTAGAGACTGAGAAGTCCAAGATGAAGCACTACTAGATTTGGTGTCTGATGAGAGCCTGCTTCTTCATAGACAATCCCTCCTCACTGTATTCTCACATGGTGGAAGGAAAGGAGGCTGTTCTTTTCAGCCCTTTATAAGGGAACTTTTTCCTTTAATGAGGGCTTTAGCTGAAGCGTTGGAATCACTTACCTAGAGTCCTCTGTTAGGTAATAATTAGAAATGAGCAGTGAATTGTGAACCAAAAACATAGCAGGGTCCTGGGGTTTCATTGACATGTCTTTAATGAACAATCTAATAACTCATAGAACAACAACAGGTGCACTAACCCTGAGAATAAACATATGGAAACAAAGGGAGCCAATTAAGAAATATGTCAAGAAGGCAAAATCAATGGGGCTAAATCCTGATAGTGCTTATTGGTGTCATTGTAAAGTTAGGATTTATGGCCATAAGTTTCTCAATGTATTTCAGAAAAGAAATTTCATGAATAGTGCAGGCAGATAAAGTCTGCCAGATTATTGACCCAGCACCCTCAGAGGCTGAACTTTATTTTAAAAGCAAATTGGGCCTGAGAAGAAGCAGCCCTTCAATCCTCAGCATCATAACACCTACCAGGGGTGCTGAATTTTATTTTTAAAGCAACTTGGGCCTGGGGAGAAGCATCCCTTCAATCCTCAGCATCATAACACCCACCAGGAAAGCAATGGGGAGGGCTGGGATGTAGAATTGACTTGTAGATGAGACCCCCTGAATAGGTTAAACACCATGACAGTTCCAGAGAGGACCAACTAGAGTCAAAACCTCTCCCACCCAGTGTGAAAGAGGCATTAAGCATCTGATTGGCAATGACTGCAGAAGATGGAACCAACATCTGGCAAACATCAAACAGGAATAAGTTTGGAAGCAACATTGTTTCATTTGTCATTCATTGTTCAGAGAGTCTTGAGTGCATTCTTTGCTTCATTTTCACTCAGTTCAATTCTCTTGCTTGAGTTTTCATGTCTGACTTTAAAATTTCTTTTGTTGGGACACGAGAACCAAAATTTGGCACTTCAGCTCCCCACTCTCCTGTGACACCATCTCCTCGTACTATATCACATTAGGAGTTAAATTTCAACATAGGAATTTTAGAGGAACTCAAACATTTTGACCAAACCCACCCTCTTACGTGGTTTCTCTCTTGGCTTCACTCCAAGCTCTTATGGTACCACAATAGCAAGAGGCTGGGGACAAGAAGCATGGACTACAACTCTGCTGAGACCATGGGTTTATCATTCCTCCTCCAACAAGAACTTCACAGGTTCACATGATTAATCTCCTTTGGTTTAAATGGCGAGAGAGAGGGAATATTACTCTTGCTTTTGGCAAATTCATAAAGTAGAAAAGGGAGCCCTCAGGACCTGAAAGGGAAGGGAAGGAAAAAGACAGAGGCTAACACCTAAGCCCTTGGTTCCC